AAAAATAACCAGTTTACGAGTAGCAGTAGCTGGACGATAAATACGTATTAGCAAAGAATTTTGAAAAAAAATCTTTAAGAAATATAATCTTAATCTTTTAGAAATATTTAATTATATTTCACGGCCCCTGATGTTCGCCCGTGAACATTTCTGATGATATTTTTATGATGATTTAATACTGTATGGCATCATCAGAAGTTACAGGCATAAGAACCATGAAATATTTCAGATATTTCATGTACGTCATGAACAACATGTATTACCACGGCTTGCCGTGCTAATCCATGCCATGATGTTCACAACAGCTATAGACTTTTTTTTTGTATTTTATTTATTTATAAAAGCTTTGCGCTAGTCGCCTAGACACAAAAAAAAAACGTTGTTTTTTTTGAAAGATATTTGTACTTTTATATATGTTCTTTTTTAAATAAATTAATTTTGATGTATTTATATAATATAAGCTATATAGTTTGAAGCTTTTTGTTGTTTTAACCAGTAATTTATTACAATCTTGACTCTAACATTAATAGCCCAAAAAATTCAATAGATTTACAGTTAGTTCTATATGTAACATCTTCACATTGTCAAGATTTTATTATATGCTTAGTTGGTTTTTTTTTGCTTTTTTTTTTTTTGTTTTTATCAAGTAATATATTTTATAAAATGAATTTATTTGAAAAAGTTCAATATTTGAAATCTTGTGGATGTTTTTAATTTATATACTGTACAGAATCAACATTGTTAAAAATAACCGTTTATCCAAGTATCCGATCTGAATTGATCCGGATATGGATAAATGGATAACGGATTTATCCAGATTGGAACTCTAGTTAAAAAAAAAATTTGGTGGCATTTTGAAGAAATAAATACAAGTTTACATATGTATTGGAGGTTTTGTTATTAAAAAAAAAAAAAGCTTTGCATTTTAAAAAATGGGCCAATTAAAATGTGTCAAGTTTCGTAACACAATAATGATAGCACCTACTGTATGCGTATATGATAGGTTAATAATTTTTAAACACAATACTCCGTACGGAGTGTAATTTGCGATTATTCATCTTGATTCTCTTGAACTCCCCAATAATTAAATCAAATGAAGACACTTTTACAGGGTTTATTGTGTGCATTCTATAACAGAATGAAGACAGAAATGAAGACACTTTACAGGATTTATTGTGTGCATTTTATAATAGAAATTTGAAGAGTACATAAGAACATTTCGAAAAAAAAGTATAAAAGCGAGTATTTATTTCTCGTAGCATTACGTTGATTTAATAAGTTTATATATTAAATATTACATCTAATTAGAGATATTTTATTATATAACTGCCAATGTCCTCTAAATCAGAATATCGGTTTAAAATCATCACAGTTGGAACTTATTCAAAAATGCCACAATATCAATATTGTAAAAAGTTTAACGATACTCCATTTAAACCTCAGTTTAAAATAATCACAGAAAAAGAAATATACCGACGCCGACATCGCAGAAAGCATAATTGGCAATCTGGATGTCATCAGTTTAAAATCACAGGAGACATCAGTTTAAAATCATCACAGAAAAAGAAAAAGAAATATGCCGTCGTTACCAACAGTAGAGACAGTGCCCGATCCAGAGCGAATCCCTCTCTCTGGTGGATGATAGAGGGGATAATGTGTAATGTATGATAGATCTAATGGGTATTTGAAATTACAAAATACAGTAGTCCAGAAAATTTCTACGTAGATCTTTTTATTTTTTTATATACTTAATTAAAAATAAATTAATATTTTTATTATAGGATAATATTTTTTACTATATCTGATATATGTTATGCGTTATTTTTAAATTCTGTCAATTATTAATCGCAGTTCTTAATACTGATTATAAGACTTGCATACAATAACGCATATTAAATTAATACCGTATTGGCAATGACATAATACAAAGTAGTTTTTTTACTATCATGTACTTTTTTCTTCGTAGTACTTATGGATTTACAAGTTACAATTTTCTATCACCAATGAGAAATAAGCAGAGTTTGAAGAACAGAGATGTCTATGATAAGCACCTAACTAGGGATTGGGACCGCTCAACCGTTAACTGAACAACTTCTAATTAATTTGTCATAAAATTTAAACTATTACCCTGTAAAAAATTTTGTTATTTTTTTTGTGAAAACTCCGTGAATCTGATGATTTAAGGTTATAAATATGCAACATTTATGGACAAAACACGGGTCGACTTTTTTATAGGGCTATATTTTATTTTTAAAGGCTACATATAAATAATGCAAATATAGCAATGAAATTTACTATCTCGGTTAAACAAATACTTTAATAGAGTAAATGTAAGTCTATTTACACTTTTGAATCTTCTTATAGTACATACATGATATTATATATGCATATACGTACCGTATGTATGTATGTGTATTAATTTTGTTTATATATTGCATACTAATTGTATGTACGTATTAAATTTTTATTGTTGTAATTTAGGCTGTAGTATTTATATAAAGCACGATTAGAAGTAAAATTATTATAACTCACCTATACATGGGTGTCTAAATTATTTTTTAAAAAAGGTAATTTCGACAAGCATTTCGATATTGCTAGTTTTTTATATGAATTCCACAAAGTAGCTATACTACCTAATGCATTTTGGCATAAAGAATT